CACAATGTTTGGTCCTATTTTTAATATTAGGATGAAAATTAATTCCAAACCTCTAATTCTTCTGGAATAAAATCTTGAAGAACTCGGAATTTGGATGGTGTCTGAGACTCTGGAGCAAAATTTTGTAGACATTGTTCATTAATTTTGATATTATCCCAAACTTAGAGAAAAATTATAAGAATCATATGAAAAAATTTTTACAATAGTACCCTTTGGTACTTTCACACACACCCAAAATGCAAACACTTATTTTCTGAACCACTTTAGAGTTATTTGAAGACATTTTCCCATTTTATTCCTAAAATCTTCAGCATTTAATTCCATAAAAAGAAAAGACATTCTCTTAGTTAACCACAATACAATTAGCAGAATTAGGAAACCTAATGTTAATTGTTAATATAATATAATAAAGGCTCTATTCAAATTTCAGCAACTATTCCCATAATCTACACCTTCCCCTCTCCTTTCCAGGATCCAATCCAGGGTGACACATTGCATTTAATTGTCATGTCTCTGATCAAAATCAGAAACTGTAAAAGTATGTTATTTGGTGTCTTAGAAATTGAAATTTGGAAAACAGATTCAGAAAAGTCTGCTTCGGTTCAGGGGCAAGTGCAAACTTATGGACAAGTAGTGTTGATTTACTGCAAAGCAGTAAAAAATCTTGAGTAGAAAACTATTGAATGTTGTGAAAGAATAGGAGATGCTTGATAGATAGAAGACAAAGAAAAGAACTTATATACTTAGTAAAAATGTCCATAAAGCAAGGGTCTGATAGCCTTTTGACATACATCTTGAGTGTCTGAATCCAAAACAATTACCTGGTCCTTCCAGATTCTCCACCTGGCAGTACCTTGAGATACACAGATAAGCCCTACTTCCTCCACGACTTACTGACTCATGAGTGTGTGCGTGTGTGTGTGTGTGTGCGTGCGTGTGTGTGTGTGTTCCCAGGCATCCAACCCAGGGTCCCAGGCATAGTAGGGAAGTATTCCAAGTATTCTACAAGTACCAGGCTACATTCCCAGTCCCCAGCTCCATTTTAAGAAGCTCTTTCAATGTTGCTTCCATCCTGATTTTCCTTTTCTTTTCACACTTAGTCTCCTTATGTCTAAAACAATTCCTCATCCTTCCTTTGTCTTTCTAGACCTTGACATGTTTAAATACTATAGGCTAATGTAGGGGCGAAGGAAAAATTCCACTCCCCAAAGATTCATTGGAACAAACTTGTAGATTAAATAGGAGAAAGAGCATGCAAATTTATTAATGTGCAAATGGGGAAAGATCACAGGTGTGTGATTACTCACTAGCCCAATAAGATTTAGAGAATTAAATATCCCTTTTTCTGTAGGGGAGGGGGAGAATGGGGAGGGTCAGGGAAATAGTGCTATTTTAGGGGAACTTAATGAGCTTTGAGAATATACTGGAACAAAGTCTGTTGGGCTGGCAACAGAATGTGATTCTCCATGGGACCAAAACAGGACAATACTGTGTGACAGGTTTATCCAGGGGTCCAGATGTACCTGCCTTGTTTCTCCATTGTGAATTTATTGTTTTCCCCTTTGTAAGCACAGATAATAAGTATAGAGATGCTAGAAATGCCTATTGCTCATCATCAAACTGCACCCATTGGTAACTTTACATCCATCATACTTTCTAAATACATATACTACAATATAAATATATATGTTTATATTTCACTGTAATGAACAGACTTTCCTTCTCTCCATTCATCTATTTATTCATTAATTTACCTGAGTAGGGACTCACAGGTCCTTGTTTTATTCTCTGGGCTGTAATCCATTACTAACACTACATATTTTGATGCCCCAGATTTGGCAAGTGTGAATCCCATCAAGATGGGTCCCAACAGCACCATAACATAAGCATTTGTAAACAGTGAATTTGGCTAAAGAAAAATTCTGTCTTTATATCAGGCCACCCATTGTTACAATTTGTCTTAAGTGGGACTTCCCCTAAGAGGGATATATGGCCTTCCTTTTCTATCAATAGAATCTATTTGTCCTCATCTTCCTCCCATCCTTGACCACCACCTACACTAGTGTCTCAGCTAAAAGTGTTGGAAGATTTCCCTTTGCAAGACTGGAGACTTAAAAGCTTAATGCTATCATTAAAGAACAGTTTGGGGGTAGGTGCAAACAAAGGTATGAGGGTGCTAGAACTGCCCCTTGACTCTTTGTAGAGATGGGAATACTTTTAAAATTTCATTGTCAAGGCTAAGTTATGCAGTCCATGGGATGCAGTTGGGTAGTAATCAAGGGGGACAGGGAAGAGTATGACTGGGCCAGGAGCTGGAGGCTTCAGGGCAGGTGGCAATGTCCTACTGCTTGACAAGGGTGCCTTTCGATAATTTATTATGCTACACGTAATTTTGTGTAGTTTATTGTATTTGCTCTTTTAAACAATAAGTTTAAAAAATACATTAAGGAACCTATTCTGGATCTTTTTGGGCTAACAGCACAAGACCAGGTTGTTCAGGAACAAATCCAGGAACTTTTTCCTTAGTGTTAGCTTTATCTTGCTGACAAAGCCTGTTGTTTTGCTTCTGATAGAGTGACACAATTCAAGTCGGATCATCTTTTTTGGTGGGGGAGGGGTAACTAGGGATCGAACTCAGGACCTTGCACTTGTGAGGCAGGTGGCGGAACCACTGAGCTAAATCCCCAGCCCCTTGTCTTTAATCTTTTACAATAAAAGCTAGAAAGTTGCTCTTTAAGAAGATATTCTGGGGGCTGGGAATTTAGCTCAGTGGTTCTGTCACCTGCCTTACAAACAAAAGGTCCAGAGCTCAATCCCAGGTACCAAAAAAAAGAAAAAGAAGATATTTTGCCCTTCAATTGGAATAGTTCAGAAATTGCAACTGAAATATACACTACTTTTTTGTTTATTTTGGTTTTGGTTTTGGTCTTGTTTTTTTTGTTTGTTTGTTTGAGACAGGGTATCACTATATAGTTAGGCTGGTTCTGAACTCACTGTGTAGTCTAGACTGGCCTCAAACTCACAACGATCCTTCTGTCTCTGCCTCCCAAATGCTGGGATTACAAGCTTACACCACCATGCCCAGCTACGTAAAGTATTATGTGTAGACACCTAAGGTCCTTAGCTGGCTTTTTGGACCTTCATTCCCTCACTTTGATGAAGCCCTGATACTTTCTTGTTAGAAGTATTTAGGTTTAAAGTTTTTCTTTGATTTCTGCATGAAAATTGTTGTTTTCTCAGTTACCCTTGCTTTATTCTACCTGGAAAGTAATGTCTGATACATTATTTATATGTTCACAGACTAAGCTTCAAGATATGTTCTAACTGAATCATATTTTCCTTTTTTCAGGTCACTACATTTTTACCAATTTCACATTTTTCTCCTACTTTAAGAATTTTTCAGTCATTTTCTACAAGGTTTTAACACTGGATTTCCCAGGCAAACTCCAAAATAAACTACATAATAAAACCTATTAACTGGGCCGGGGATTTAGCTCAGTGGTTTTTCTGTCTGCTGTGTAAACGCAAGGACCCAAGTTCGATCCCCGGTACCAAAAAAAAAAAAAAAA